CTGACTCAAAATCCTTGAGTTTAGGCTTAAGAATCACCCCCATTTGGATTAGAAACAAAGAAGTATGACTCTTTGAAGTTGGAAGACCAATGCTGAAACAAAATCTGGAAGCTGTGCATATGAAAGCTATTTAGGTCGACCTAAAGGGAGTTTCGGTAGACCGAAATGACCAAAAAATTTGCTAAAAACATGAATTTGAGTGGTGGTTGTTTCGGTAGACCGAAATAAAGTTTCGGCCGACCGAAATAGGCCCTGAACAGTAGAATTGGCTTTTGGAATGATGAATTACTGTGTGTTAATGGTTCCATTTGCCATCGGTCGACTGAAATGGAGTTTCGGTCGACCGAAACATCTCGAAAAGCTGCTATAAGGCCTGCTATATGCCAAAGGTGTTAAGATTTAACCCATGCTTTGAATCCTATGATGATTTGGTTCAAAAATCAAAGTTTAAAACTAATTTTCAATGAGATTTAACCTTGAAATGACTAAATGAATGTATTACAACCACTTTTAGCCTTATACATGTCCATTACAAGAATTTCATATGCCAAACCTTCAAGGTTGGTTTAAAAACATTTTTATAGAAAGGATAGTACAAAATGACTATAAGTGTTAAGTTAAACATGTTTGACCTTTGGCCTCATTACACATACATCCAAAGAGTATCAAAAGGTGCACTTAAGTGCACATTACATGTCTTGAACAATAAATACAAGTTTTTAACATAATAACCAAAATAAAGTGTGATATGCTAACAAGTGCATATTCTAACATAGCAAAAATACTCCAAGTAATTTAGCAAGTCTAAGATTGTTGTGCATCCCACAATATTGCTTCTTTACCTAAAAAACACACGGTAATTTCAGGGTGAGTAAACAAGTTTACTCGTAGGGAATGAGCATGCATAAGTTTAACTTATTACAAGGTTTGTATTTTAATATAATTCAATCTATGCTATTAAAGTGACATTAAAACTTTCAACATAGCATAATGAGATGCAAATTCACAAAGTTAACAACTTGGAATTTAAACGCGAAATCAAACCAAAGTGGATACTTGGATATTGCCCGGATTAAAACCGTACTCTTGGGATCACTTTAGGGCTATTAACCCATGTGTACCTTCTCCTAGTGCGTACTATAGTGTAGGGAGCTCTCTATCTCCCGTACTAGAACCAAATCCTAACCTAGTCAAGTTCTTGATAATATCCTAAGTTTCCAAAATCAACAAGTAAAGCAACAAGTCATGATATGTGATAAAACATAACAAGTTCTATGAATTGAATGACTAAATCATTCGAACAATTAGATAGAAATTAATTAAACTAATTAAATAATTTCTCCAGATTTCAAGAGTTGTCTAAATGATTCCAATTAAATATATGACAAGTAGTAACTCAAAGACAAGCCATATATCAAGTCAAAAATGGAATTTAAGTATGGTGCAATTAAGTAGAATTTAAATCAATTTAAATTAATTAATTCTCTAGATTTAAAAGCTTATTTAAATCATGCCAAACTAATATATAATAAAGATCAAGTCATGGCCATACCATTTACCAAGTCTAAAATGAATTATATGCAAACTACCATTAATCATTTATTTCCTAAATTAACATGGGGCATGCATACAATTTGTATATCATTTCAAGATCAATTAAATCACTTGGAAAATTAAATTATAACACCCCCTACCTCAATAGAGAATAGTATCTCTATAAACCAAGGCAACCAAGCTTAAAATTGAAAAATTAAACAAGGATTTTATAGAGGAGAGTGAGAGGAAGATAAAGTGTTCCAAGATTATAAGTCTAAGGTGAGTGGAAGGGCTAAAAAAATGAAGTCAAAGCTAATAGTGAAGCTTTTCTCTAATGGTGGCTAGATTAGGGTTCTTGAGAGGAAAGAGATGCATGAACTAAATGTGAAAATCCTAAGTTAAAATGGTGGGATTCTCCACTCACTAGGTGCTCTTGCACTACCTCTCACACACACACTAATGCAAGACTAAATGTGAGTCCTACACTTGTCATGAATCTAAGTAAGCTTCCAAGACTTAATATTGAACCCACACTTGTCAATCATCCATGCCAACAAGTGCACCTACCTAGGCCAACAAATGGGTGAATCTCCACCCTCCATGTGTCAAGAGATTAAGCCTCCAAGTGGTTTTACCACAAAACCAACAAGTGGCACCTTAGGAATGTGACACTTGTCACATTTTCCGGAAATTGCAAACAAGTCATTTTTGAAAATATCTTCCGAATTAAATTACAAAATGGTCCCTAAGACGAAAAATAATTACTTTACTTAATTACATTAAAACCCCTCAAGTTTAGGATAATTACCAAAAAGTCGTGCTTTCATGCACTTTACAAGGAAAATAAACATTTAATATACTTTTCTACAAAAGTAAAAATGTAGATATCATGAAAATGAAATATCATGGATGTATGATAAGTCGGGATCAAATCCGAGTACAAAAAGTGAGGTTATGCAAAGAAAAATGAAAAAACGACTAAAAGACGAAATAGGGAAAAGACTAAAAAAAGAATTTCCGAAAAAAAGAAAGGAAGGAAAATGATCGGGTTGTTACACATAATGTCACAATGATTTCAACAAAACTTTTTTCCAATTATCATAAATAAGAAATTCTTGCATCTATTAGAAACATAAACATTAGTACTTAAGTTAACCTATCATGTATTAGAAATAATTTCAATAAGTAATTCGAAATATACAAATGCCAAAAGTTTACCATTCTTTTTCGAATCATTCTTTATATTTCTCAAAATTACCTAATAAAATTCAAATTAACACCCTTGTGCAAAGAGTTTTAGTATTTACTTATTAATTGATATAAATTCTATAAAACTCAAAATTACGTAATAAAATTTAAATTAATTCAAATTAACAAAATATAAAAAGAGTTTAATTCAAATTACAAAGTGCCACATTGGTTTTAAGTAAAAAGGTTTTTCGAAAAAACTTGCTTGGTAAAATTATTTTGTTTTGCATAGGTTTGAAACGTTTTGTAAATAATCGCTAAAAATCAAAACACATAAAAAAATTGAAAAATTCTTAAATGACATTTTTACACTAACTAGTATATTTTTTAAACTTGAAACACGTTTTTACAAAACATGTTATTATATTTTTACTTAAAAAAATCTTGCAACAAATGAATGTTACAAAATATGCTTCTAATTATTTTTCAAAACACTCTACAACAAACATTGGCGGATCTAGGGGTGGACTTAATTTTTTTTTTACTATACCTAATTTTAGCCCAGTAAAATTATTATTATTATTATTATTATTATTATTTTTTACTACTATTAGTCTACCCAAAGAAATATTAGCCTGCTCCATTGACAATTCCTGAATTCGCTTTTCATAACAAAAATAGTTATTTATCAAACAAAGTTGCAAAGTTTTCATATTGATCAAGAAGGTAGTTCTTATAAAATAATAATAAAAATAATTCAGATATTTTTTTTTCTTCTTTTTAAACCGTTGACCAAACTTTAATCCGATAATACATTTTCTCTAAAGGTGGTAAGCAGGCGGGTTGAGTCGGGTTTGGGCAGGGTCACATATGGCCCGCTTGTAATGTGTTAAATATGGGTTGGGTCAAAATGAGCATAGTCCAACTGTCATGACCCACCAACCCGTTTTAGAAAAAAAAAAAATGTTATTATTTTGGATAATCTCATTATTATTGTTTTTTATTTTAAATGAATAAAAACTTGTAAAAATATGTAATTGTAAATCTTTCAATTTATTTTGAAAATTCTTTAAATTTATATTATTTTATTTTATGACTAGACATGCATGAAGGTAACATATATATATATGAAATCATCTATTAAGTTTTTTATAGAATAAATAATTAAATAAATAAATCGGGTATTCCTATATATATAATACACACGAATACATTGTATATGTGTTGTGGATGTAGCAGAGCAATACTATAGTACCACAAAGAATTTTAGAGATAGAAAGAGGGCGATGAGAGAGAATCTTAGAGATAATTTTAGATTGAGAGAATTTGGAATCGTATGAGAAAATTTTAGAAAGGAAGAAGAGGTGAATTTGAGTCAAATAGATAATGTAAAATTGTGTCTCTTATATAATGAGTGAAATATGAGTCAAAATGAGTGATTCATATTCAACCCATTTAACTCTCTATAAAAATGAGTTGAATATGAGTCACCTATTTTAACTCATCTTTTAAAATAATTTATCTATATTCATTTTTAAACGGACAAATATGAACAAATTGATAGGTCCGGACCCATTTTATCACCCCTAATTTTCCCCTACGTGGGAGGTCCTACTTGTTTATTCCTCCTGGAATCATGGACGTCACCAAACTCAATAACCTTTCCCGTTCAGATCCAACGCCCAGTCACTCGTCACCTAATCTCTCTCTCTGTCTCTCCTCTCTCTCTCTCTCTACATACATATATAAATATACAAAAGATCCTAATATATATATATATACTATATTTAGAATAGCAATACTTGACGTCAACTTTCAAAGAGAATTATCTCAGCTACAAATTTTGATTGATATTTGTGAATAAAAATAACCAATCAAATTTTGTAAGTTAAAAAATTCACGACGGGACAAGTCTCCAGTAGTTCCGCTGAGACTGAAACATGTGACCATAAAAAAAATTATTGCTGTTACATAAAAGATAAAATTAGGTGTTGGAGTAAAAATATATATAAAATAAAAATATATACACACACTACTAGCACTAAAACACACGTGGATATAGAAAGGACGTAAGATGACACACACTGAATGGTAGACAACTAACAAACCCTCAGCACTGACAGAAAAAACTGTCCGGTAGACCAACCAGTCAAAACACACACACACACACGAACGCACTCACACACGCACGCACACCCCCAATCTATCACATTCCTTCCCTTCTCCAACCCTAACTACTCTTTCTCTCTCTAAAATATTACCCCTCTCTATCTCTACAACGCTAAGCTAACGACCTTTCTTCAATTCCATGTCCATGTGGATTATCAATTATTACCTCAATGAAATCTCTTGGTAGTCTCACTCTACGCTCAAATCAATCTCTCCTCAAAGTCATCATCTACCTTTTCCTTCTCACCTGCAAGTCTGCGCAGGACACCTCCTCTTCTCTTCTCTCCTCTCCTCTCCTCAAAGTCATCTACCTTTACTCTCTCTCTCTACCTCTTTGTCTCTCTCTCACACACACTCACACACATACTTTTTAGTTGATAAAGGGTTTGATTTTTAGCTAATGCTCGTTTGAGCTGGTCCATTCTAAATCTCACATATATTCCATCTAAGCAAGATATATTCCTTTTTTCTTTTCTTTTTTTTCATTCTCATTTTTCCTAAAATTCTTGATGTGGGTTATGTGAGAATTCGATTCATATATAAAGATATTTATAATTGTTAGAAAATTTAAAGAGAGTCTGGTGGTGATAAGTGGCAGAATGGCCGCGCCGCCAAGTAGCCGGCTGCAATATATGCTACAGACGGCGGTGCAAGCGGTTCAATGGACATATAGTCTCTACTGGCAATTATGTCCCCAACAAGGGTAACTTCATTAAAATTCATTCAAAACCCATTCTTTCCGATATAATTCTATGCTTTTATATATCTGAATTCATGTGTCTCGACAATTTTGTGTGTGTGTGTAGGATTTTGGTATGGGGAGATGGGTATTACAATGGTGCAATCAAGACTAGGAAGACGGTGCAGCCCATGGAGGTGAGCGCGGAGGAGGCGTCGCTGCAGAGAAGCCAGCAGCTGAGAGACCTGTACGATTCGCTGTCCGCCGGGGAGACAAACCCGCCAACACGACGGCCGTGTGCCTCCTTGTCACCGGAGGACCTGACGGAGTCGGAGTGGTTCTACCTCATGTGTGTGTCTTTCTCATTTTCTCCTGGTGTGGGGTAAGTTCAGCTCAATCAGTTTTTTTTTTTTTTCATTGAATTGAATTGAATTGAATAGAGTTGGTTAAATTTGTTTTTCCTTTGATAGAGGACTTTACTGCACAAATCTGCAAGTAATAGTAATGGAATTTATGAGCCATGAATGCTCTCTTTGTTCACAGTTTCATCTCATATACATGCACTTAGCTAGTATGTGTACCACATCATCATCAATTCTTCATTATAGATTCGATTTTTACCTTTTGAATGATTAAAATGTGAAACACAAAAATATCACTAAAATGTGAACACAATTAATACAATACTTACTATATATAATATATATATATATGTGTGTGTGTGTGTGTGGTGAAAATTAAGTGAAATGGAGTAGTACTGAAAGTAAGCGAAACAATTTAAGGAAGGAGGGTTCCGTACAGTGAATGATAGGATGGAAAACTGTTAAGAGTTTTAAGTGCCGTCTATTTCGGTGACCCAAATCTATATAACAGCTAAGAAGAAGCAGAGGATTTATTATTATTATTATTATTATTATTTTTTATTTTTAGTTTTTTTTTAACATTAAGCTCCATAAATCTACCGGTTCATGTTTGTGTGGACACCTCTTAACTGTGTAGATTCAAAGCAAATAATATCTATACAGCGAAACCGATCATGAAAGAAAAGAAAACCGTGAGCATGGAGAGTGTACAAAGCAAAGGAGGACAATATTTACTTAGTGACAAAGTGATAGAAGCTTAGAGTCATATTCTTACAAAAAGTTAGGCTAGAGCCTTCTTGCATGTCTTCATCTTAAACACAGAAGCTTCTGGGATTCTCTATGAGAAATTAAAGGTCACATAGTTTTGGATTTTGACAAATTTGACATTGAAAATGATATATCATAGAGACAGGAAAGGTGTATTTGTGTGTGTGTGTATATATATATATATATTCACGAGACAGTGTTGAAGAGCATGGTGAGACTTGAATGATAGATAGGAATTGAACAATGGCTCGCTAAATTTTGCAGCCAGGGAAGCTTATGATGTCATGGGGAAAGGGGAAGACAGATTGTATGATCCATTATTATCACGCAGTTCATCAGTCTGCAATATATATTAATGTTCACGAATCACAAATCTCTCTATTCTCTCTCTCGTCGATTCCAAGCAACACACATATTCTTCTGTCCTCCGTACACATTTTTGTTTTGTTTTTATTGATTGCTACGTAATTGTCATAGCAGTTAATGATATATTTAGTGCTTGCAGTATGATCACTCTCACACCCAAAATTCAAAAAGACACTGGGTTTTAATTGCATTGTAGTACAAATATGAACAATTTCATAAATATTGTTGGTCGCAGTGACAGACCCATAAAATTTTGTGAGGGTGGTTCGGCTTTTTAATTTGTAGGTACAAAATTATATGATGGTTTCATTTTTTTAATTTTAATAGGGTTTTTTTCATAAATTTTATAAAATTTAAAGTATAAAATGAAAAAAAAAAAAATCAGTGGGTCAAATTATAATTCTAGTGGGGGCATCTTCATAAACTATCAAAATTTGAAGTATAAAATGCTAAAAAAAAGAATCCAGTGGGGGCGAATTGTAATTTTAGGAGGGCATTTTCATAAATTTTTTAAAAATTAAGGTATAAAATAAAAATATTAAAAATTCAGGGGGGCATCCGCCCCCCGGTCCCATTCTGGGTCCGGTGCTGGTTGGTCGTATATAATTGGCTAAACCCTATTCGTGTGAGTTTAAGGGAAGAGCACTTTTTCCACCTTTCGAAATAGAATGTCTATGGTTCAAGTCGTAAAAGCGGGTGCGTGAGTTTTGCCAAAATAGTTTATTTAACTTGGAAAAAAAAAAAAAACGAAAGAAAAAAAGAAAAAAGAAAAGAGGAAATCAATTTGAAACCCCATATATATATATATAAAATAAAAAATTGTAATTCCAGTTACATTGGTATCATTGAAGTTATTGACTTAGAAGTTATTGACTTCTTATGAATTAACTAGCCTAGTATTAAGGACAAACAATTCATACTTTTTTTTCTTTTCTTTTTTTTCTTTTTTTTTTTTGGGGTTAAAGAATAGTAATTTTAGTAATTTCTTTAAGTAAATAATTATTTGATTTCTGTCAGGAATCTTAAGCGGCAACCATTGTCTACATCTCTATGATACTCATATTAATTATCTAAAATTGCATTAAAAAAATGCAATGTTTTTTTTTTTTTTTCTAATTGGGGTACTCACACACACATGCCTCAATGGAGGCTTGAACTCCTGATATTTCTTTGAAAAGTAGGGGCTTGGTACCGTTAGACCACTGACCTGTTGGTAAATGCAATGTTTCTCTACTCCTGATGGATATATATATATATACTGTATAATTGTAATACTCATTTTGTTTTATTTTTTGCTTGCTTTACTCAGACCTAAATTTGAAAATTTCTTCTGTTGTTGTCATCAAACTCCTCAAGTTATATATAGAAGCCTATATTTTCATCTCTCTCCAGCATACATATATATATATATATATATAGAGTCCTGATCTCTTGCTCCCCATGGAGCAAGAAAAATAATCCACACTTTTTATATAGACCGTTAGATTAAATCTAACGGTCATTTTACAAACCCACATATGATCTTTCTTTTTAATACAAAACCACTTTCACCATTTTTTTGGAAAAAAAATTAATTCCTGTAACTTTACTTTTATTTGTCGTGGAAGAGTTTACTTTAAGGCTTTGAGGATTAAATATTTTTAAATTTTGTTAAGTTTCATCCCTTTACGAATAGATTAAAATTTTTGTTTTTGTTTTATTTAGTTTAAGCTTTAACAATTTTGAATAAAGTCAATATCATATGATTTCATTATTCAGTTGTATAATATTGTTATCCACACATACACGCACAAATAACTATAACAATAATATTGTTTTCCATGAGAGCTTTGGTTCTGAAACAACATGAAACACCTCTAAATCCCGGAATCGTGCACACCGCTTAACATTTCAGCTGCATCTTTCTTAATGTATTTTCAAGCCTCTCCTTGAAAACCCATATATACATATTCTCCGTATCATGCTGAACCATGAAAACATCAAGCTTCAAGTCTAATTTATCATACCCACCAACCCCAATACTCTCCCAAGTGATCTTACTCTTTTATTTCTCATTCAAAGTTGGTTTAAAAAAAAAACCTAAAAAAAAACCAGGCATCCCAGACACTATCAAGTCTCTTAGCAAAATGCGGGTATTATTTTTCTTTCAAAGAAATATTTAAATAAAAACAAATTTATTAGTAAAATATACGGGAATTAATTTTTTTCATAGGTTTCTATTTTAATTTTGATAATTATCTTTTATTGTAACAGTAGGTGGTAATGGTAAAATTAATTATAGAAACTAAAAATAGGGTGAGGGTGGTTTTGTGTTGAAAGGAAAGGCCATAGGTGGGTTTGTAAAATGACCGTTAGATTTAATCTAACGGTCTATATAGAAAGTGTGAATTATTTTTCTTGCTCCATGGGGAGCAAGAAATCAGGAGTATATATATATATATATATTTTGTGTTTATGTATGCATTTGCATCTACATGCAAGTAGACCTAACAACTAAGCATTGTGACTTTATAGATTACCCGGAAAGGCATATGCAAAGCGGAAGCATGTTTGGCTTACCGGGGCAAATGAGGTTGATAGCAAAGTGTTCTCTAGAGCTATTCTTGCCAAGGTACTTTCTAATTTCTTCCATATATATATATATATATTATTCATTCCCTCAACTTGAATATAAGTTTTTTAGTGGACTAACTTTTTTTTTTCTTTTGTTTTTTCTTGTTCCTGTTTTTGAATTGAACTTCCTTGTGATTCTACCAGAGTGCTCGCGTACAGGTAATTTTGTTGTCCATTTCATAGACATGAACTTCTGCAAATGCTTTTTTTTTTTTTTTTTTTTTTTTTCCGGTAAATAAGTTTATTTTCTGATTTCGAAAAACCTGATCATTGTTCTAATCATGCAGACAGTGGTGTGCATTCCTCTATTAGATGGGGTGGTTGAACTCGGCACAACGGAAAGGGTAATACGAATGTTCTTCTACTAAATTATGATGTCTTCTGATTAATTTCTTTAGATATTACATATACGGGTGCCAGAAGGTTTTAAAAAATTATAAAACACATTTATCTGAAAGTGTTTTTAGAGAAATTCTGAAGAACTCAAAGAACAAAAAATAGTTTTTAGAGAATTATAAAAAATCGTTCTCTTAAAACAAACATTTTTATAATCGAATTTTTCATAAAATTAAACCAAGCAGAGTTTTATTTTTATTATTTTCATAGTTACAAACCAAGCAAGTCCTATATTTTTTAATTGAATTGTCATAAAACAGTTTTCAAAAAGGATAAGGGAAACAAATTTTTACACAGTTTTTTGATTTCCAGTTAGGAAAACAAAATTTTGTTCAAAAAATAGTGAACCAAACAACCCCATTATTTATCACAAAATCAAAATCAATATTACAGTATTTATTGAAAATTTACTAAACCTTGTAAAAAACCCTATTGCCGCCATTTCAGGTTCCTGAAGACCTTGGATTCATCCAACATGTAAAGAGCTTCTTCATTGACCACCACCAAGTTCACCCTCCAAAACCCGCCCTCTCCGAGCACTCGACTTCTAATCCGGCCGCATCAACGGACCACACACGTTTCCACTCTCCACCAGTAATGTATGCACCCATTGATCCCCCAACCAATGCTAATCAAATAGACGAGGAGGAGGAAGAAGAAGAAGGAGAAGAGGAAGAAGAGGAAGAGGAGGAGGAGGAGGAGGAAGTAGAAGGTGAGTCGGACTCGGAAGCCGAAACGGGGCGTAACAGCCGCTTATCCGGGCTTCAGAACCCTCACAGTGTAGCTCAGGGAGTAGTTGTGACTCATCCGGCGGCCGAGCCGAGTGAGCTCATCATGCAACTTGAGATGTCTGGGGATATTCGACTCGGCACACCTGAGGATGGCTCCGACAATTTGGACTCCGATTTTCAAATGATTGCTGCTGGCCAACCCATCAACACCCTAGCCGATCATCAACCCGGTGCTGACTCGTATAGGGCTGAGTCGACTCGCCGGTGGCCAGTAGTCTTACCAGACCCGTTGGACAGCACTTTGCAAGCTCCAACTTCAGGTATATTGGTAGTTAATTAGCTTGTTTTTGAATTACTCAGTTGCTGCACAACACTTGGATTAATTAAGCAATCTTGGCCCTTTGATAAATGCTATCAATTTAGGGTTCACAATGAAGGCCCTTCTTCTTTAACCAAAAAAAAATAAAAATAAAGGCCCTTCTACTCTCAACAAAGATATTATACACACACACACACACAAAAGAGCAGTGATTGACCCAAAAAAATTTGTGAAGAGGGCGGCCTTTTAATTTGTTGGACAAACTTATATAGTAGTTCATTTTTGTAATTTTAATGAAGTTTTCTTCATAATTTTTTAAAAATTTAAAGTATAAAATACAAAAAAAAATAATAATAAAATAAAATCAGTAGGGACATCTTTATAAATTTTAAAAATTTTGAAGTATAAAATGCAAAAAAAAATAAAAAAAATTCAATGGGCGAATTGTAATTTTAGTGGGAGTATCTTTATAAATTCTAAAAACCTTATGGTATAAAATAAAAATATAACAAATCCGCCCCACTGATCCCATGTTAGGGACGTGCCGGAACACGAGTAATGATTTTTTAATCATAATAAAAAAAATATTCGCCACATACTGTGACCGTTGTATATAATTATTATATTTATTTGGTATCACATATCCAACTATCACCATATTACATGTTTGGAATAAATTTCTTGTTCAAAGATCATTTATTCATATGTATGTGTGTGTGTATATATATATTCTGTTTTATTTTAGATGTCGTCTTAGAGACTATAACTCACAAATGAATCACAGTTCCCGAAAATAATATTTAAAATGAGACAAAAGGAGTACTCCCTCTGACCCTTATTAGTAGTTCATTTTTCTCTTTTTACATGTGCCAAATTAGTTGTCCTTTTTGAAAAGTTAAAATATCTTTTCTTTATATTTTCATCATTACCCTTTATCTTTTTAAAAAATTTAAATCTTCATAATTATATATATTTAAAATAAAAAAGATAATTTGATAATTTTAAAAGGAGACAATGCATTAATTACATGTCCCCTTAAAAGGTTATAAAATCAAATATGAAATAAGGGACGAAGGTAGTATAATTTAAGAGAAGGGTGAATGGTAATCTATGATCACACACAGATGCTCAGTCTCATCCATGCAAACCATGCAAAAATAAAAAAATAGAACTTCTACGTACAAAGAAGACTACATTTTGTCATGTGGATGTGGGTCCCATATTAGATACTACTCGACATCTAAATGCAAGACAATTTTTAGCTATTAATTAATCTTAGAAGTGAAGGGGGCAAAAGGAAAATGTTAGCTTTATTAATTTATTTTCAAAGGTGCTCGTTATGAAAGATGTGATATCATCTGTTGAATGGAGATGCATCATGTAGCTCAATGATTTCTGATCAAATTTTCAAAGTAGAGAATTAAGGTTCAAGTTAGTGTGTTATTTGTTAGAACTAATAATAATAATAATAAAATAAATAAATACAGTAAAAGCATTATTGTAGGTAGAAAATGTTGTTCTGGCAACAGTAAAAGCATTTTCTGCATGAATTTTTATTTATTTTTTTACTTTGTGCATAGAATTTCTGCATAATTAAACTGTACTTAACTTTATGTTATTTGCACAGGAGCCCCTCCGTTCCAAGAATCCACTCAAGAGGACACCCACTACTCCCATACAGTATCCACCATCCTCCACCACCAGTCCACACGGTGGTCCGACTCATCCTCCACCATCGCTGCCGCCCGCGTCATGTACTCTTCCCAATCATCTTTCTCTAAGTGGACAAACCGCGCCTCCGACCACCACCACCACCTCCTCCACCAGGTCCCCTTCGAAGCCACCTCCCAATGGCTCCTCAAGTACATCCTCTTCACCGTCCCCTTCCTCCACACCAAGGCCCGTGACGACACCTCCCCTAAGTCCCGCGATGCCAACTCCGACTCCGCCTCCCGCTTCCGCAAATCCACCCCCCAAGACGAGCTCAGCGCCAACCATGTCCTCGCTGAACGACGTCGCAGAGAGAAGCTCAACGAGCGCTTCATCATACTCCGGTCTCTAGTCCCCTTTGTCACCAAAATGGACAAGGCCTCCATCCTCGGCGACACCATCGAGTACGTGAAGCAGCTGCGGAAGAAGATTCAGGAGCTGGAGGCGCGTGCGCGTCAGACGGAGAATGATCAACGGTCCAGATCCACGGCGGAGCCACAGAGGACGAGCAGCATAAACACCAAGGAGCAGAAAAGTGTGGTCACGGCGAGGGCGGTGACTGCTGCGCCAACAGATAAGAGAAAGATTAGGATTGTGGAGGGGATCGGTGGAGGCGGCAAGGCAAAGGCGGTGGAGTCACAGCCACCTCCTGCACCACCGAAGCCGGTGGAGGGGGTTGAGGTGCAGGTAGAGGTGTCCATAATTGAAAGTGATGCATTGGTGGAGCTGCAGTGTCCATACAGAGAAGGGTTGTTATTGGATGTTATGAAGATACTAAGAGACCTTCGTGTGGAGATCACAACCGTCCAGTCCTCCTTGACCAATGGTGTATATGTTGCTGAGCTAAGGGCTAAGGTTCGATACTACTATCTATTTTCTTACCTATGTGTGTGCGTTTGTCTCTCTGTGTGCGTGTGTGTGTGTGTGTGTGTATATATATGTACTTACAATGTTATATTTCATGCTCAGGTGAAGGAGAATGTTAATGGGAAGAAAGCAAGCATTATGGAAGTAAAGAGGGCAATACGTCAGATAATACCTCCCAGTAGTGAGTCAAGTATATATAGTTAAAACTTAATTTTATAGAGAATTGATCACCAAATTGGTCATTGATTGATCATTCCATGTAACATTATATTATTTAGTAGGTTGTTCATGATATATAATAGGTATCCCACTGTCCCCTTTTCAGCGTAATCTAACAAGCTTTATGCTACATCTAGCCCTAAAATTACCAAAAGATTAGATGAATTTGACTCTACTCATGTTCGGTGTTAGAATATAAATAGCAGTGAAAACTTCAGAAAAACAGAATGAAACTGAGGTTCAAGGAGAACTCCTTGTTGTAACTCATAAACAAATTGTAAACAGCATTTGGCAAAAAGACCAACAAGTAGAACAAGATAATTTTTTGTTCTCAGTATCTTGGATGAGCCACGGACCTCCTCGAATTGAATAATTTTCCCATATCAGTATGGAGCAATAGGCCATTGGTGGTTTAATTATTTCTGAACGGTACAATTTGATAGGAACCTAAATTGTTTTACAACATTTGAATCATGACGGGAAACCATAACAGCCTACGAAATAGAGAACTGTTCAAACAAGTATCTCAGTTGCACCAACCTATGAATTTAAAAAATCTATGGATGATTACTACTACTACATACATGACTTGGGGAGATGTCTAGTTCTGTTCTGCAACTTCCGTCCAACTTGAGGCCGGAGAAGTGACAATGTCATTAAACTGCAATGTAATCCAAGGAATCGAACAATATAATAGAGAGGATGTCAGAATATTGAACGACCAACCTTCTCACTCTTCTGTTGTCGATGTCTTGCAAGCTAGGCCTTTGAGTATATGTCGACATTGAAACCTGGAATTGATTAAAAAAAAAAAAATGAAAAACCAAATTCACAACTAAACATCCTTAAGAATTCCCTCACAAAAGGATAGGGACTTTACTTGTTTTCACCTCTTGATGTAAAAGGTTAAAAAAAAAAAAAAAAAAAAAAAAAAGGGAAGATAAATTGAACAGAACAATTCTTAATTGAATAAATCATTAAACAAAAGGCACTTTCTGTCCATAACCACTGACTCTTAAAGTAAATCGTGAGCACTCATAGATAATTACAGTGTCATGATTTTGACCAAACAGAACTCTAGCAATTAATTTAGTCACAAAATCTTTAGAAGCAACATAATTTGACAACTAAATCCCATTAAAGTATCAGCAGCCAGTCTCTCAAATCAGAATTGTCCAATGATAAAGCTAAATAGACTGCATTAATCCGAGCAGTTACTAATTTTGGCAATACATGAGAAAGAAGGTGATCCGCAAGGTATTATTTTGATACATTGATCCCACACGAATGCAACAAAATCCCAATTGCACGAGCTTAGCTTAATGAAAGGTATCAAAGTGTTAAATGATTATGAAAAAAGCCTTAGGAAACCAAGTACTTAATCATAAACTTCATGTGTTAAAGGGAAAGGAGCAAGATAAATTTGTACTTGGCAACAATTTCTGAATAAGGAAAAGCATAATTTATAGAGGATTTATTACTTTAACATTTAAGAGATTGATTACCAGAGCAGATCATTTGAAGTAGAATCCACCAATTTTGTAGAGCTAGCAGCTTCAGAGTCATAATGTGAAGAATCCATTTCATGATTTTGGGTTCTGCACTTAAATCGTAACCTGAAAGGCACTACCTGTGATGGAAAATGCAGAGAGTATAATGCAGTGTTGGTAGACAATATCAAAAGGATAGTTCAAATATTATGATTAAAGCTTTTCATATAAGGAAGCTTCAAGATACATTACAAGCTACCAAAAATTTCTGCCAGGTGCCACGAGGTGATGGTGAATGAGGGCAGCCCAAAAGATATATCTGGTTATTTGAACACTTTACAATCTTAAACATATGACTTACTTATGTAAGAATTAAGATACATATTAAATCAGTCAAAATACCAGATATTAATGGCTACAAAAGAGCATAACCAACTATAACAGCAATAACAACAATACAATTTATAATAAATGATGCAATACATGACCTGTTGGTAACAAATATTTAATGTTGGTTTTAAATGAATTTTATAATGTAAATTAAAGCTCATATTGGCTATGAATGTTGTGGGAACCATTAATAAATTATCTCAAACAGAGAATAAATCCAAGCTTGTACGCATTTTACTAACTCAATTAGCCATTATGCAAAACATGAACTGTTATTCAGACTGACTTGAGCAAGTTGCTTATCTAGAACCTCAAAATCAAAAAGGATCAGAATATCCTGGCCTCAGAACAAGAATTTGCCTAAGATTCCTTGAACTAAATGCAAAATGGCATGCATCCTTAAACAATTCAAAGAGTTTCTTGTATTTACCAAGGTTTTCACAATGATCGAATGGGATAATCCTCTAAAACAAATAAAAGCAAGCATATTTATGAATAATGTAAATAAGTGTGCTACGCCTGCCAATTGTTACCTTTTTGCTGTATTTGAAGTCACGCTTGGGAAGAAAATGCAAAGGCAGACTGAAAGAAGAGGGAGCTTTAACCAGCATAAATAACTTGGTAGGACCTGCAAGAAAATGAAAATAGTGCTTCAAGTTGCAGAGATATCAAGCATTAATTATTTATAAAAACAGGTAGATGCTCAATAAAGTACCTGGATAAGAATCAGATCCTGCACCCTTTGAGATCATCGTCCGAATAGCCTGTTCAAAATGTGATATATAAGCCCAGGCAAAGATGTATACAAAGTAGAAAATAGAAATAGTGAGAAGAACCTTTCTTGAAAGAGCTTCTGCTGCTTTGCTTTTAGTAAAATCACAGGCACCTTTAGAGACGACCTTCCCGTGTGAAAAGCAAACCTGATAAACATGTTGAGGTCGTAATGGAGTAGCTCCAAGGGCTAAAATGATTTCTTGGATATTGGGGTTCTCACTGATCATCAGTTGCAGAGCAGTCTGAAGATTGGAAACTGTATTCATCAATTTCTCCAGTCTTCTAATCTCCCGTTTGACATCTCTCATTCTCCCAGCATGCTTTCTCCTTAGAGATGCCTTTTCTTCAGTTTGCGCAAGATCTTTCTCCTGAATTGAAAATTCTTAGGGTACAGAAATAAAGCAAAAATTTTATGATACAATCAACCTTCACTTAGCTAACATACCAACTCTTTATATTCAGTTCGCAGTGTATCAAATTCCACACAGATGTCCTGAAAAATACTGCATAATAAAAATTACTCCCAGAGACAAGTGTCAAACAAATAAATCCTTCCGTTTTTTTCTTTTTTCCTTTATACATAATTCAGCAAATTAAACCAAATCCACTACCTCAGTATCAATATATAAAACCAGCATCTTAACACAACTTGGGTCATATCAATAAGAAAATAGAGAACGAAATAACGAAAACTAGATATTGTATTTCTTGGTGAAAGTAAAATAACTGCAATGATCTTAGTAAGTAAAGAATGAAATAAAAAACAGTCAGTTATTTTTTAGCTCTAGCATACAACTTATGCAATTATAACATCCCATTTCCCAACTGGATTGATTAGTTGATTAGGGATTTTAATTGATACTCAACTGATTTAATTAGCTGATATTGATTATTGAAATAAAAATGAGATCAGGGAAATAGTCTATCCTTCTAGATAAAGCAACATTAAACCCAATGCCCAAACTCCAATTCACCCAATAAAAAAATCTCATGCTATGTTTGGCAGCACCGAATCAGTGCCGGATAAAATTTAGCACAAATTTTGAACTAAACCTCCTCCAATCCCAAATCTAAGGCACGAATTCGTGCTCCCAAACATAATTTCATTCTACATGCATACTGTGAGAGATTTGACTTTGAAGCCAAAATGCCATTCTTTAGCATAATATTGAATATCTAACCAGAAAGGTGATCAACATGTAGATAATAACTCCCTCATATGAACGATCAGTATTCTCTCTACCTCTGAGTAAGTGCATGAAAGAAATCAATATAGCCTTTCAATGATAAGAAAATCACTTCAGAGAGCAAAATTTAACAAATGCTTGTGGTTTTTTTTTTTTCTAAATGGAGCTGTAATTACCCTAAAATCATAAAATTTGGGGCAGAAGAGAACTCAGCTTCTTCTAATATTTCATAAAAATAAAAATAAAAGCTTTTGAGATCAGCAAACCTTGTTCTTCTACCGAATAACGATTCATATTAGAGCGATTCTGACATTAAACGTTCTTAAATTTCAATTTTGAGCAAACACCTAGAATTAAGGTTCTTAATTTTCAATTTTGAGCAAACACCTAATATTTTATTACAAAAATAAAAAACAAAAAAAAAAGCTAAAATTTAATGAAATTGAGAACTTACGAAGGGATTTGCTGGTGCATGTAAAGGACGAACCCTAGGATGTCCGTAACCACGTGGAATATAACAGAGCTGTCAAGAGAGTCCGCGGAGGTCTCGATCTCCGTGTACTCCATCTCCGACCTCCCCTCTCCTTCTATCGCCTGCATATCTTCGCAACTGCTTGTGTGTGTGTGTGTGTGAAAGAGAGAGAGAGAGTGTGTGTGTGTTCCTAATTTGAATCGCTACTGTGCCTCTGTGGATATATTTGAAATGAACTTAGGCGGGTCGAGTGTGGTAGATGGGAGAGAAGATCTTGTTTGGGAACGAATATAGAGTCGTCATAAACTGGAATAGATGTTGCCGTGGATTGATTATTTTTAGTAGAGAACTTATCATATTTTATTGAGAAATGCTACAAAGAATTTGTCCTTCTTTCAAGTACGCTGTTTTAACCTTTAAGCTAATTTTAGGTCTCAGCTATCGAGGTGTGAAGAAATTATTGCGTGATTCAGGCCGATCATAATTTAAAATTGTTGTAAATATATTAAAACTGTGTTAACTTTATTTAACTTTTTATTTGGATGTGAAATGATGATTGGTACCTACAATAATTTTTTCAAAACATAGGTTTATATGAAAACTTAATTGTGTTATGTTGTTTATTTTATTTATTTATTTATGGTAGGTAAGAGGGTTCTTTTTCCAACATTTTATTTGTAGACACTCTAAGGAATAATTTAGGCTCCGTTTGTTTAGACGTAAAATATTTTTTAAAAAATATTTTTTTTATTTTCTAGTGTTTGGTTGTCGTAAATTATTTACGAAAAAAAAAATTAAAATTTAACAAAAATAACTTATCAATTAATTTTCGACAAGTTATTTTACATGGCCCGCCCGATGGACTCAATCTCGACCTCAACGTAAACTTTTACCAAACACCAACAAAGAAAAAATAAAAAAATATTTTACCTAAAAATATATATATATTTTTCAAAAAGAATATTTTACATTGAAACAAACGAACCTAGTTAAAAATATTTTTCGTCCGTCTTGTGATTACAAATGAATGTTTTGATCATCTTTGTGGCCCAAATGTGACCCATATATTTTCTATGACGGTCCAACTGGACTAGGCCTAAGTGAATCAAGCCCAACGTCTCTGGATCCAGCTCCACCTCCCAAGATAAGGATAACAGCTTGAGTCCAACAAGTCCATGAGCAGTGGTAAGACTATCCATGAAATTATTAGATGGTACTCCCTATTAAATTATGGAGTAGTGATAAAACTCTCAGTTTAAGTAATCGCCTAAGAATCATTTTTCTAGATTATGTGGTACAGTTCAATTAAAAGTTTAAAACTCTCCAATTAAGAAATATAGTAACAAAGAAAAATTGTACATCCTTTGAATTTGAAGGATGCTAACATATTTGACATCTTTCGAATTCGGAAGATGTATCATTTGCTCATGGTATAAAAGTTGATAGAGCTAGAGTCCGGAGCTAGGATCAAACTTCTGGGAATCGCAAGAAACACCTCTTGCAGTTGGTGATAGATGTCCAACGGCACCCAATAAAGTACAAAAAAAAAAAAAAAACAAACTAAAATAAAAAACATGAACATATGATTTGATTGAACTTGACCACCATATAATCCAGGACTATCTAATAGTTTCTCAAGACCAAAATCGCCTAAAGTCGCATTTTATACATGGATACTTGTGTGTGAGAATAACAAATGATTCGGCCAATATACATTTATACATAGGGCTGCATTACAATAGAGCCCGGTCGACATTTTTGGAAACCCAATCCTATTCAAGCCCAAGCCCCCGCGCTTTGACTCTTCAATATCACACTGCAATGGTCAAATGAAATAAATCAGTGGCCTAGTTGTTAATATGTTCAAAAAAAAAAAAAAAAAAAAAAAAGTAAATGCAATGGCCCGCCACAGGCTGGATTGGGTTGAATTCGGGCCGGGCTTCGAGTTGCTTTTGCCCGCCAATGTGTACATATATGTATATAAATTTTATGCTGAGTGGGTAACCATTTGCACAATTGATCGGCGCTCAATTATTAGGTCTGTTCAAGGAAATTGATTCAAGTAGACTTGTAGCAAATCTTGATTGGAATTTGACTCCATCCATAGCCACCAGCCAGGTACCAGACATATGTGTATGTGTGTGTGTGTATATATATATGTGTATATGTAAGCACAGATACATATGATCCATATATATTGTATGAATACATCAAGATAATTTGAATGGAGATCTTCTCAAGATAAGGGAGATCATGCGGGCAGCTCTGAAAATTTCACTTTTGTCAAAAAAGGTGAAGCAGCAGTTGATGTGAAAGGAAAGGATTTTGGTAGAGAAGGAAAGGATTGTGGTAGAGAAGGAAAGGGTTAAAGAAGATCTACTCTGTGAACAATATCCATCACTCCCAATCAGAAAACTCGCATAGTCAAGTCCCTCTCTCTTTCTCTCTCTCACACACACACACACAAACACACGTTCTTACAATAAAAAAAAAGTTTCTCTCTCTCTGAGTCTCTGCTACTATATCTTCTCACGTGCCTTTAATTTCATTGTTTCTTCATGCAAGTTTCAGGGCTAATACGTTTCATACTACCATTGGCTGCGTGTATGAAGGATGCAATATGCCTTTCAACTTTCAAGGCTGATTTTGCAGGCATATATATGTACGCCTGCTGATTCGAAGGAAATTTTGTCTCCCATTGTACTCGCACATACGTTAAAAACTTAAAATTTACCTTTTCAAACGGTATCACGATGTAAATTTAATTGCGCCCGTTATATTACTGATTTGGTATTACCGTCTCATTAAATATTAACATTGGGTAAAGTATTTTTACCGTGACAAGATACAATTAGCTGATGGCGCAAATAACGAATTAAAAATGTAGCGAAGTACTTACAAACAATTAGACAACAAATTTTTTCAATGAGGACCAAACATAATTGGGAAGACTTATTAGTGATGCCATGTCATTTAGGGATCGATGATTTTTTATATTTCTATTTTTGTATATATAAAATTTACCATTCAGATGAGGATCACTGATTGTATTAGTGTCATCTTCTTATTATGAATTGATTAGATATTGACACGTAATGATTGGATCTATTAAAATACAATACTTTTACTTATATAATACGATATAATTAATTGATGGTACAGATAACGAATATTAAAGATGCATAGAAGTCTTTCTGAATCAAGAGCAAGTAAAAAAAAAAAAAAGTGACCAACAGGTCAGTGGCCTAACGATATCAGGCTCCTACTTTTCAAAGAGAGGTCAGGGTTTAAACCTCAGTAGAGACATGTATGTGTGACTATCAACTAAAGGCAAAAAAAAAAAAAAAAAGAAGGTCATTGGAATTTTTTTATATTTCTATTTTTTTATATATTTAATTTTAAAATTCTAAAATTGCCAATCATTTTTTTATTTTTTATAATATATGTATAGAATTTTGAAACCTAATCATTTTCTTCAAACGCGTGCCTCTTGATTGTTTTGTTCATGCAAGTTGCAGGGCAAATACGTTTCATACTGGCATTGGTTGGGTGAATGAAGGACGTAATATGCCTGATTTTGCAGGCACGTATTGTACGTAGGCCTGCTCATAACGTATACTCACACATACGTTAAAAACTTAAAATCAACCTTTCATATTGCGGACCAAGAGAGCTCGCTCATAAATAATTGTACAACAAATTTTTTTTTATTTTTTATTTTCAAATCAAATATTTATCTACCAATATTTATCTATTAAAATATTTAACAAATACAAAAATATCTTTCTTACGAGAAAAACTTCAGTGTATCAGTAATACCATGTCATTGAGCCGAAATTAGATGAGATTAGGAGGTATAGGCGTCCTTCAAATTTTTTAGCATATTTCTGCTTTGCTATATATAAAATTTTAAAATTCTAAAATTACCAGATTAATCATTTATTTTATATTTTTATTTTTTATATAACATTTAAATATATATATAGAAATTTGAAACCTAATCATTTTATTCTCAGGTACCTTTTTATTGTTCTCTTCATGCAAAGTTTCCGGGCTAATACGTTTCATACTACCATTGGATGTGTGTATGAAGGTAGTAATATGCCTTTCAACTTCCAAGGCCGATTTTGCAGGCATTATATGTACGTTCGCCACATCATAATGAACAAAGTTCTATCTCTTATTATTAGTCACATATACGTTAAAATTGCCTTATCTGATCATTTATTTTTTTTAAGTTTTTTATTTTATATATTTTTATCTTGTACAAAGAGAATTTCGACACTCCATAGTCTTTCAATATCTTTTTTTTTTTTTAATGAAAGTTTTTTTATTTTTTCAATCTAATAAAAAATCACAATCTAACTTGAAGACACATATTATAAATCATGTAACCTTCTTATTTGCTTGGTTCAATATTATTATCAGTAAGTTTTTTATTAGAAAAACTTGACTAAAAAAATTCAAGTTCCGAATACATATTCAAGTTTTATTTATTAATTTTTCATTGTTTTTTTTTTGTATTTTTAGTTAATTCTGAAATGTCTAGGAAGGCACAAACCCTTAGCCTTAACAACCCGATTAATTCCGGAGAACCTGGAAGGGCACCTCCCCACCCGAACCGGATAAGTCACTACATGGGTAGCGAAGACTAGTCACAAAAAGCACCCCAGTGAGACTCTAACTCCAAACCTTGAGCTTGCGAAGTTCCAAATTTCAATGAGTAAACCACTAGACCATATCGGAAGGGGATTAATTTCTAATTTTGTTAAGTCTTAACTCTTAACTAATTTGAGTTATTGAAAAATTCTTGTAAACGTCATAAGAGAGAATGAGGGATACCCTAGAACACACGCATATAAATTTGTTTTGTTTTTGTTTTACTTAAATTTACATAGTTTTTCATTCAATTTGTATGAAAATTTATGTAATAAATGAAATCTATCTTTAGCTTATTATTCTTCAATGCCATTCCCTCAATTGAATTTTTGGATCGCTGACACCCGTGTCATCTGCCAATTATATTATATCGCAAAAGTAAAAAATCCTTTACTTTAATGAGCTCTATCACACTAAGTATCAGCATTTATTTATTAATGTTGAAAAATATAAAAGTTGAATAGAGAAATTAAACTTGAAGAACACAAAGATATATCGTAGTTTTGACACTAGGACTTGCATCCAGGACACACAAAGTCCAAATGACTACCTCTTTTTCATTACATTCTCTCTTAATATTGTTTATAATGAGCTCTAATCAATATTCTATCAAGCGAAAATTATTCCTA